TTGTGTGGCACTGCATTTTAATCACGTCAAGTATATTGTTTCACCAGGCAACACAAAAATGAAATATTTTCTTTACGTTCTGTGGGTGATTGAATGGTTTCTGAAGGTACATTGGAGAAGTGTCTCTGAAAGTCTTTGTTACAGACCTTGTTTTGTACTTAAAGGTATCTGTTATTTTTGTTGGGGCCTCTCAAATTAAAAGCAAGAAAGCAGCTAAAGAGAATGTACCAGCAGAGTTCTCTACAGTACACTAATCTAGAGACAGAATAGATTTTGATCATGAATTCAAGAACCCCCAGGGGAATGCTGCAGCAATTTATAGATTCATAGATGTTAGGGTCAGAAGACACCTCAGCAGATTGAGTCTGACCCCCTGCCCTGGGCAGGAAAGAGCGCTGCGGTCAGATGACCCCAGCGAGGTGCTTGTCCAGTCTCCTCTTGAAGACCCCCAAGGTAGGGGAGAGCACCACCTCCCTTGAAAGCCCTTTCCAGATTCTGGCAACCCTTACTGTGAAGAAGTTCTTTCTAATGACCAACTTAAATCTGCTCTCTGACAATTTGTGGCCATTGTTCCTAGTTACTCCAGGGGGTGCCCCAGTAATTGGCAAACCATTTTTAATTTTGTTGCGTCTCTAAATTATAACTCTCTCTTGCTCTTCAGTAATCTGCTATTCTATGGTCATGCTCTGTTTTTGATTATGTTGCAGGGCTGATTGTAAAAGTGTTTCCTCTTTAGGGAGCTGAAAAGGGGATATGGTAACAGCTGCCACCCAAATAAAGTAAATACTAATCCTTTCCAAAACAGGGGTAAATTCCTTTTAGAACTTGTCAGTAGCCAGGAAATGAGATATGTTTCCTGCCAGCATCTGATTTATGTGCTAGACCCTTATTTAAAAATGCTCTGAGTAATGAAGTTTCCAGTTGTGATAGATGTCTTCTGAGGGGAAGGTGGGATGGATACTGATTGCAACAAAGCTTAATTTTTTAGGAAGGGAGAATGATTCAGGGATGTAATCAGGTCTCATTTTCTAGAGTTTAACAAGTGTTACTCCTTTGGAAATGTTATGCTGCAGCAGAAACTCCTGGGTTCTCTTGCTGTTTCTAAACAAGTTCACTGTCTGACTAGTAAGGGGGGTTATTTTTCCTAAGAGGGGTAGGAATGACTGTTGGGATTCCCCCATAATGGAGTAGAAGTGGGACATCTTCTTCTGTGCAAGACTTGTCTGCTCTGGGAGAAGGAGTTCCTGGCGGCACTATGAGATCTTCCTTGGAGGGAAGCTCCTGCTTTCATAGTAGTTTCCCTTCTTTGTGGAGAGGCCCCTGAATTATGACAATTTCCTTTTTGAGAAAGTCCTGGTTGCATTCAGGCTTCCTCAGTGGGGATCTAAAATTTAACATGCTATTTTGGAGTTGAATTCCAATGGAAATGCAGATGTGCATTGACCTGCAAAGGTTCCAGGATCACTGAGTCTGAAACAAGGGGAGAAGGTTTGACATGAACAATGTGACCTGTAACTGGAGCTACCAAACACCTGGAACTATACAATTCTTTCCAGTGTCTGCCTGGCCTCCCAAAGAATGGGCAATTGTGACTTGGAAGCAATGCCTGAAAGGATATAGGAAATAAGAACAGTGAACTGCAAAGAATCACAAACTATTCAGATCTGTAGTTCCTGTTTCCATAAGTTTTGTGGTGCTTGTTGTGTGGGTAACAGCATAGACAGCAGGTAAACATTAGGACACATAAGTATCCAAAATAAAACTCTATGCTCTGTAAGGCACAAGCTCCTATCTGTGATGCAGGTCTATGTGGGCAACTTGCTTACTGAAATTATTTTCTGTTCTTGGCCACAGACTGTCCTGTAGTGGTGAAACCAACACCTGCAGTTTAACAGATGTTCACAGCTTTCCAGCTTTTGAACAGGCTATCATTAATATTTGCCATCTAGCTTCTATTTGAAAGTAGATTGTATGAGACAAAATATAGCAGGAGCATGAATACTAGGTAGCAGCAAGGAGGAGAGAGATTAGACCTAAGTATAAATTGGTGCTAAGACCATGTATTGCCAATTTATGCAATGTCTAAATTGTTCTGACATCATCCTGAGATTAGCTCCCCTGCGACTAATACATTCTAGTCAAAGGGTTTTGCTAGAATTAGAAACAAAGGAAGGAGTTTGGGAGTAGGCACATTGCTTGCCAAATCGTTTATTGTAGGCTTCACTATTCAAAAGTAATTATTTCATCAGTGGGAATTTCTTGGATGTTTTGAACAGGTCATGAAGAAAAAACAGGCTGTGCATTTTAGCAGGGAGTACGTTAGGCAAATGTTACACATGCATAGACATTACTGCCTTTTCCCAACTCCTTGCTCCCAACCCATTGCCAACTAAGCCAATGGAAAGATTCCTAGTGGAAGATGGACTGAACTCTACAGGAGGCACATTGACCTATCATATTGGTGATTCATTCCATTGGCCCCAGATATCTGCTGTAGCAGTAATAATGGTGTTCTGCACCCTGTCTGCATTTCATCTGGATATCTGCTTCTTAACATACAGCAAAACCACAGAGAAGGCATTTGCCTTTCGCATTGGGTGCTCAAGTAGAAGCAAAGTAAATAAGGATGTCTTTGCTGCTTGAAATGATCTCAGGAATGCAATGAAGGAGACTATACTAATTGTCCATCTAGATGCAAAACACTTCTAAATTGCAAAAATTATTTGAATGTTTTTGTAACTAAACAAGCAGGAAGAGACCACCAGCTCTTCCCTGATATAGCATGCTTGCTCTGCCACAGTATTTCTTTCATAGTGTGGAAGGGTAAAATAAAGCAATTTAGGAAGGCTATTTGCATGTGCATCTTTCTTTACTCCATGAATTACTTTGGATGCAGGAGCCTTTGAAGAGCAAGACTCAGGAAAGTCTACATTAGCTTTCAATTGCTGATAGATAGCAGTGACCTGCCATGGAGTAGAATCTGTCAGGGAGCATGTGCTGATAATGTAACACTTCATGTGTTTCATTTGTAATGCAGGGGATCTCTGGTGGGATAACTGCCATCTTAGATGACAGGGGTATACGTTGCAGCTGTGTTGGTCTAAGAACATAGGTAGACATGGTTTTGGGGGGACTGGATATCAGATTTACCCAAAGAACCTTGTCTGATCTTAGATGACATACATTTAACAGGCCAACAGAAACAGCTAATGGATAAAGCATAGAAGAACAGGGAGGAATGGCAGGATTGGCTCCCATAGGCAATACACCACAAATCTATGGTACCACCTATATATATTTTGAATATTGCTCCCTTATTTGAGGGTAATTCTTGTACTTAAGGATGGCACATGCAGATTTGTTCAAAAGTGCTAGGATGATGACATGCAATTTATCCTCACCAATAAGCAGTAGTGCAAATGAGTGGAGATAACTGGGGCAGCAGCCCCATCACTGCCTTTGCAGGGGTGGCAAAAGCTGCCATTATTATTTCCCTCGATTTGGCACTGGTGAGGCCATATCTGGAGTACTGTGTCCAGCTTTGGGCCCCCCACTACAGAAAAGATTTTCTATTAAAATGTAGAGGGCAATGAAAATGGTTAGGGGGCTGAGACCCATGACTTCTGAGGAGAGGAAGAGGGAACCAGGGTTATTTAGTCTGCAGAAGAGAAGACTGAGAGGGGAATTAATAGCAGCCTTCAGCTACCTGGAGGTGGTTCCAAAGTGGATGGACCTGGACTCAGTGGAGGCAAATGCAGAACAAGGAGCAATGGCTTCAAGTTGCAGCAAGGAAATCTTTGGTTAAATATTAGGAAAAATTCTCACCAGGAGTGTAATAAAACACTGTAACAGGCTGCCCAGAGAGAGGGTGGAATCTCCATCCTTGGAGGTTTTTAAAAATACAGCTAGACAAAGCCTTGGCTGGGATGTTCTAGCTGGGGATGCTCTTGCTTTGAGCAGGGGGGTGGACTAGATGACCTCCTGAAGGGACCTCAGGAGGTCATCTAGTCCACCCCCCTGCTCAAAGCAAGAGCATCCATTCTCATTTCCAACCCTCATTTTCTATGATTGCCACAGCAGTGACAATAGAACCACTACCAATTGGTATGGCAGGAGCCAGCATTGTCCTCAGTACCATGTGGCTATTCTGGGCAGACTACTTGCAACACAGAACTGAGTTGTTATACCTCTGCAGATCAGGACACAAATACTGGCAAAGAGTACTGTGAGATACAATTTTCATGCACAACGTAGTCACAAGGCCCTCAAAAGTCCCCAGTTAGTTTGAACAGGTACAGTTTCTTTTATTGTGAAATGACTCCTTTTGTAGTCATCTTTTACAATAAAGCAGTCATAAGGCATTTTGAGTGCAAAAAAACAGCCCTGTTGAAAAGAAGAGGGCTTGCTGCTAGTCTAGAGTGAGCATTCTCTGACAGTACCCCAAATCATCTCAAAATGGCTTCTTTCTAGTAAACAAACCTACTCATTCTCATGTCCATTTTGGCAGACATGGCATCATGGTATTGGAATAAAAGACCCTTGCATGTTGGATTCTCAAGACCAGACCTCTACAGATTTTAGCCCCTCTAGCAGTGGTTCTCAACCTTTTGAAACTCAAGCAGCCCTTGTTACACTCAAGGTGCCCCTCACACAATATCAGTTCTTGGCTTTCACTCATTTCCTGACTATGGAAACACAGATAAATTCCTCTGTTGCAGCAGATCTGAATGTGTTTTTGGTACTATGGACTCCTATTTGAAATCTCTAGGTTTAACATGTGAATCATCTGTAAGTGGCACCAGGTGGCACCCTAGGGTGTTTGGGGACCCTGATTAAGAATCACTGCCTGCCTCAGAGGGCAGGAGGTGTCTCTTTTCATGTGGAGAAGTCCCTTCCTTTTCATTTCCCAAATGCTCAGGCATTCAGATGAATAAAAACATAGCCCTTTGCTTCTGAAGTATGTCTTTAATGATTCAAAGCAAAAGCAGACAATGCAAAACTAAATAAAAGACTATGCGCCTAAAGGAAGATTTTCTCTTATTTTTATACACAAATAAATAGAGTGCAACAAGGGCTTAGAAGAGAAGGAGGTGGAAAATGGAAAGCACTGAATTACTCTTGGAAAATTACAAATGTCTACTACAGTCTCTTTTTGCCCCTCTATCAATGTGTCATTATGTTCATCTTCTTCACTTCACTCGTCTCTGGGTGGCTCTTCTGATGCGTTTCAGTGCAGCCTCTCTGTCCCCTTCCATTAACTCCTGCTGGGCCTTTCTAGACCAACCTGGTACATCACAGATAGTGCCTTGGCACTCACAATGCTCCACGTGCACATACTCATGGTTCACCTCTTCTCCATTAAGGCACCGTAGTTGAACTCTCCTTCTGCTCGTTATCGACTCCCTGCAGCAAGTGCACTTGTGGTTCATGGAGTTGGCCTCAGCAGAGTATCTGTTTGTTAGTATGGACAAAGATACCATTACCCATTGTTAGATATTAGTATGCAGTTTAGCTGTCTTTTTTTGGTGAATAAGTAACTGTAAGGAATTAGAAATAATACGCAAAACAACCGTTAACCGTGTGAATCGGAAGAGCGGCTGCTTTAAAGCTAGCGGAGCATCACAAGCAAAATTCAATTTCATTTAATGGATAACCAAAGTGCAGCTTGAAACACTCTCTAAGGTACCTAACTATTGTATAGGAATGATTCTGTTTCTCCCTTGTGCACATAAGTGCTCCTGTCCTATGAACAGAGAGGCATTTGCACATTTTGGGAGGTGGCCCTATTCCTAGAGTCAGGGCACTTGCACAACCAGAGAGGTAATATAATCATGTCTACTGAATGGACATCCAGGAGATTTGGGCACTTAACTCCCTTAGAATCCTTCTGAAATGTCCAGCCCTGATGACTCTTAAATACTTTCTGTTCACAGCAGATCAGATATAGAATAGGTAGCTGCAATACAAGCTTCCCTGCATCAGCACATCCCTGACCATTAAGCATCCTGTATTGGATATTTTTTTTATGCTGGGGCTATATTTTTGTTATTTTTCTGACCAGTGTGAAGTCATTATTGGGATGTGCAGGCACTTTTGCAATAGTAACTGTCCCCCTGGACAAAATGGGATCTGTTTTCTTTGTTGATTAAGTGCATGTTTTTCTCCATAAAAGGGCTGTCCACTGTACTTTATAGCAGATGGAAAATGATAGTTTAATTGGAAAACTCATTTGTTTTTGAAATGTGTTAAAGCAGTCATCCTCCAGGTATCTGCATTTCAGTTAACTTGCGGATTCTCTTTCCAGCACAACATTAATTCCATTAGCTTAATCATACACAGACTTTTAACAAATGTGGGTTTTTTTCAGTTCACTATATAAATGTGCACCTTTGAATTCCTCTTAGAAAATGGTTGCATGTGTCTGTCTTTTTCTCCCCAGCTGTATATGTTAAATCTTTAAAAGCAGCTTCTCTGCTCATGATCAGGCCTTGTTAATGCTTGAGTTCATAACCATTATAGGAAACATCCCAAGTTGTACCATACCCAAGCTGATCTAATATGAATGACAAGAGAACTGGCTCTCACTTAATAGTCGAGAAGGCATCATCATGAGTCTGGGGCCAGAGATCCCTTTGCTATGGACCTTGTTTCTAAAATGAATAAACAATTCAATCACAAATTTCAGTACTTGTGATTCTGGGACCTGATCCAGTTCCAGATCTCCCACTGTTCTTCAGCTTGGCTATGTATTGTCCCTTTTATATAAACAATCTGTATGCCAGTTAAATTCTTGTCTCATTGTCCAGTTCAGTTTACTTACATTGAGTAGGTTCCACATGTTCCTTCACACTGAGTCACGTTGACTCTCTCCACAGAAGTACATCCCTGGTGCGTGATATACTCCATCATTTGACTGACAGAACATGGTGCTGGGGTATCACGAGGTATGCCTGTCGAATAAAAGTGTGGTAAAGACCTTCTGTGAAATGGCTGCAAAACTACCTTGGTGTTTTAACATAGGCTGTGTCATCAAAAAAAAGTGTTATAAAAACCAAAAACTGTCTTTGGGAATAAACTCTATGCACACTTTAGTTATCCAGCAAGTTCAAACATTTTAGCACTTAGCATTATCCCTTACACTCTCTGTGATTACTTGAAAAGCAGATAACTTTCTAAAGTATTTGTTTTAATCCAGTTTCTGGTATAGGGACTACAGTGTATAGATAAAAGGAGTCAGATAAGATAACTATAGGGGTTCCATTTGCTCTTAGTATGAATTATAGGTTATAGAACAGGGGCCAACCTGTAGCATGTGTGCAAAAAGCGGCATGAGAAGTTTCTTTGTGTGGCAAGAGGTAGATTGTATTAGGTACAGGCAACATAGCAGCAGATAGAACAGGGGGCAGAAAGAAGAGCAGCAGATCAGACAGGGGAAGGGGATTAAAATGGTACTCAGGGGGCACATCTATACATGCCTATTAATGCACAGCAATAAGCACTGGAACTTATTGTTCCACAGCTTATTGATGTCACACATGCATCTGCATGTGCACCCAGGATCACAGGACATTGAGCTGAAGCGGAGCAGCCCCGACTGGCAGAGGGCCCCAGGGGTAAGCCTGCCAGCCTGGGGAAGCACCACCCGGCTTAGTGTGCTCTTGAGGGGCTGGCTGGGGCATGAGGGTTCTTCAGTATGGGACTAGATAACAGGCAGCCCCCTCACTGAAGTACCCATGTGCCCCAGCCAGTCCTTCCAGAGTCTACACATGCGCTGCTGCAGTTTTCTACTCTGCAGCAGGATAGTATTTATAAGTACTATCCTGCTGTAGAGTAAATTAGTTTACTCCAGCCTAATAGGGGCACACATGTACACACCAAGACATTTACTGAATAGCTAATTAGTCAGCTGTGCAGTAAATGTCTCATGTAGATGTACCCAAAGAAACTGGGACTAATTAGTGGCACACCTGTCAAAGAGGTTGGGCCCCACAATTATAACCTACCTTTTGAACATACCCATATTAGACATACAGAAAGGCAAAGAAATTATAGAAAGTTAGGAAAAAAGTTAATGATTTGTTCTACTAAATTGTTTGAGTTTATACAAAATAAGTGTGAATCCATGCATACATGTGTGAATGTCTTTGTGGAGGCTGAAGAAGAAAAAGCAATGGCTTCTTAACCAGTGATTTTAGAATCATTGTGTGCATCTACACATGCCGATTTAAGGTGCATTAACCAATTTTAAGGTACATTAAAAATGAGGGTCTATGCATTCACACCCTTAATGCACCGTAAAAATGGCAATTTTAGCCTCTTTGTACCTAAATTTGATACCTGCAAAAGCAGGTTTCAAATTTATGCGTGAATAGCTAGACTACCTTAATGCACATGTAGATGCACTAAGACACATTAATGCTGTGTATGCCAACTGACTTGGGACTAAATTTAGTCCCAAGTCAGTGCACATACCATGTTAATGCACCTTACCGTGTGTATGTGTATACAGGTGCCTAAGTCACCTTAATTCCACATCAGACAAATGCACATTAAATTTAGGCACACGTAAAAGCATGTGTAGACACACCCATTGATTACCTGCTAAGTGATATCAACCTACTGCAAAAATACTATTAGTATCAAAATCACTAAGACCGAAGTTTCAGCCAGCCAGGCCTAGCATGCCAGTTATTAGAGATGTTTAAAAGAAGCTGCTGAGGAAATTTGACACAGAGTTGGAATGCCAAAGAGAAAACTACTAGTCCTTATTTAGGCACTTCTCAGACCTTCCATATTGTAATGAACTGAAACTGAGCTGCCCTATATAGTGACCTTAGCCACTGAGGAAGGAAAATGCAGAAAGGAAAAAAAAGTCACTAAGCTTTAAACAAAAATGTGACCTTGATTAAGAAATAAGGAATATCTTCCCTTACCAGTGGAGGAAGCCCTATCATTCCTTTTCCTGACCTGTCTCAACAGGCAGTTTTGACTCAAACCCCATTCGTTGACGTGCTACTTTACTAATTCATTCCGGAGGAGTCTTGTATTTTTACCGCATATCACCTAAGATCTGTTGTGTCCAAATAGTGAGCTTTTGTCTTCCAAGACTGAAAGCTCATTGGAAAAGTGCTTCTCTAAGTGCTCTTAAAAACAGCTACGGTGAATATATATATATTTATTTAGTTAAATACATATTAGCAATTGCATCAGTTCTCAAAAAGAAAAATTGGTCTATTTTAAATAAAATTGTGTTTCTGTTTTGTAGTGGACATATGTTTGCTGAGCAGTTGTACTCACATGTTTTACAGCACCCATTAGTTAGGTAGGAAATAGTACCCTGGGGAAAAAAATGGAAAAAAGTCAATACTACCTTTCTGCATTGTGGAATTCTGAACAACCCCCACACTGCCTCAGAAGAACAGAATTATTTCCTCCATGCTTGCAATTAGTAGTTGAAACTATAAACTATGATGCAGTGTAAACTAGAATAAGAGTCCTCTCTCTGGTCTTAAAGCCTAAGATCTACAACAGAATCTGCTGAAAAATACAATTATTTGAAGGAAAAGCCCAAGACATATGACATTCACCTCAATTACTATTTAGCAACAATTCCACACAGTTTGATATATGAGCTCTCTGTATATCCCAACACTTTAGACTGAAAGGGTTCCTGTACACAAGCTGGGAGGCTGCTCTGGCACCTGTAATTACAGTGCGCTGGAGCAAACTCAATTAACCAAGTCTGCTGGAGTGTGGTAATTACTGTGCTCCAGCCAGCCTCTGTGTGCCATGCATCAGTGTTCCTGTGCTTCAAAACAGTAGTGGGGGCATGTAGGGTTTTGCCAGCTAGCCTGGTTCAAATCAGCCCTTGAGCTCTTTAATCAGCAACAGTCCTTCTCTGGGCACAGAAACACCAACTGTAATGCCCTGGGTTCTTCTGCTTCTCAGGGCTCAGGGAAAAGCAAACAATCCACATGAACTCACCTGTAGTATGCCCAACAATTCAAGCTTCACTCCCAGCCAGTTTTAGTTCTCACCCTCTTGCAGCCACTCTAATTAAAGTGCTCTATTCCCAGAGTGCGTACAAAAATGCCCAATGTGGGTGCGTTTATACCTTGGCCTGTTCCTTGCAACTACTCTGTCTACATGGCACTCAAGAAATTTGCTGCCCTTTGATCTGACAGAATAAAAATGTTAAGACATTATAGATGACTATTTTGAGGCTATGTGAAGATAATTGCCAGCTAGAAACGTTAATGTATATGTAGTATATGAACTGTGTGCCCCTGAGTGGATGGCAGCTTGCTGAAGATAATTTAATAGAAATAGTATTAGCATTTCTGATCAGGGATTTAATACTTTTAGTAAAACCTAGTATGGCCTCTCTTGCTAATGTGGTGGCTACATCAAACTAAAATGAGAACTGAGGGTGAGCATTTTGCATTTACTTACAGGTTTACAGTTCTTCTCATTGAATGGTTGGCAGCTAATCCTGGAGGTGGAGGAGATGAACTGGTCATGCATATTCTTACAGCTATAAATAGTGCAGTTGTCTCCTGGATCATTTTTCCATTCATCAGGCTATATAAAAATGGGAATAGCACAGAAAAATTGAGAAATGACTCTGAAATCTTCTTATCCCCCAAAAGTGACTTCCCTCTCATATCTCAGTCTATAGACTATAGATACACAACTGTACTGGCTTAGAGAGGGATATGTCTGCATTCTGAAGTTGTGTTGATTGAGGTGATCTCTATATTTCTATAAGGAATTTCTCTTGAGCTGAGTGCACACAGACACACTAGGGCTCTGTGAAATGGGCCATATTCAATTTGGATTTG